GCAAGCAGGCCACGGACCACAAAGAGAAGGCAAGTATGATCCATGACCACTTCACTACCCTCCTCGGCAGCAAGGAGAGAAGGACAAAAATGATCGACTAGGATAGGATTAAGCTACCTCGTCTGCAAATTGGAGAAGCCTCGACAACCCCTTCACAGAAGAAGAAGTGTGGGCGGCAATCTGTGCGTCTCCGGCCGAGAAGGCGCCGGGACCCTACGACTTAAACGGGGCTTTCTTTCACGCATGCTGGCAAACGATGAAGGTGGACATCATGGTAGTCTTCCATGCATTCTATCGGCTCGCCGGAGGCGACTTTGTGGCCCTGAACCATGCTATGATCATCCTACTGCCAAAGAAAGATGGCGCAACCAAATTGTCTGACTTCCGGCCAATTAGTCTAATCCATTAGGTGGCCAAGCTAACCGCCAAAGTCCTCTTGACCAGGCTAATGGGTGTGCTTGATTAACTCGTCTCGCCGGCCCAGAGTGCTTTCCAAAAGAAGAAGGGCATACATGACGGCTTCCTCTATGTCCAGAGCGCACTAAGGCTATTTCAGAGGAAAAAATCGCCGATGCTCCTGCTAAAGATCGACATCACCAAGGCCTTCGACACGATGTCATGGGAATACATCCTCAAGCTGTTGGAGCGCATGAACTTCCCGGCGCGCTAGAGAGACTGGATTGCGCTGCTCCTCTCCTCTGCGTCTTCCGCCTGTTTTCTCAACAGAGACCCGGGCCCTGCGATTCTCCATCAGCGGGTACTGCGACAAGGAGATCCCCTCTCACCGATCCTCTTCATCCTGGCGATTGATCCCCTTCACCAGCTGTGAGAGGCAGTGCAGCAGGACGGCGCCATCGCGAACCTGCCGATCTGCGCTACACGTCTGCGCGTCATGCTGTACACTAACGACGCGATCTTCTTTGCCAATCCGGTGCGCCAGGAGATCGATGCCATCATGCAGCTCCTGGAAGGGTTCGGGGAGGCGACGGGACTGAGTGGCAACCCCCAAAAATCGTCGGCGGCAGCCCTAAACTGCGGCAATCTAGACCTCATAGACATCCTTCAAAATTTCGGCAGCACTAGAGTAGGCTTCCCGATCAGGTACCTAGGTCTTCCGCTCTGCATCGGCAGGCTCCGACTCATGCACATCCAGTATCTCCTCGATCGCATCCGCGCAAGGTTGGCTGCTTGGAAATCTCGTCTCCTGCCGATCGCAGGGCGTCGCGTGCTGGTTAGGTGCATCCTATCTGCATTGCCCGCCTTCGCCATGGATTTCCCGTGCATCCCAAAAAGATTCTACAAGGACATCGACATGGCGCGGCGACGGTTCATGTGGGTGCACGACGAAGAGGTCACCAGCGGTAGATGCAAAGTAAACTGGTGGCTAGTCACGTCCCTAGTCGATCACGGCGGCCTCGGCATCCCCAACATGGAGCGGTTCGTGCGTGCATTGCGCCTCCGTTGGCTGTGGCTGGCATGGATGGACCTGGCCAGGCCATGGGTACGCTTGGAGACGCCTTTTGACGACAATGATAGAGCACTCTTTGCCTCGGCAACAACAGTGACAGTGGGCGACGGCAACAGAGCCCTCTTGTGGCACCACTCCTGTCTCGGCGAATAACCACTACGGCAAGACTACCCCGACTTGTTCGGACGCTCAACCAGGAAAAACCGCTTGGTGGTGAAGGAGATACGCGATGACAGATGGATCATGGACCTCGGGCGCGGCAACAACCTGGAAATCATCCCCCAGGTCATGTTGCTGCAGCGCCGCATCAGAGAAGCCAACTTGGCGTTGCAAGAAGGAATTGAAGACGAGATCACCTGGAAAGCCGGTGGCCACTACATGGCGAGGTCAGCGTACAACTCTCAACTCCCTTCACAACAAACTTCGACCATGAAAATTTTGGTATGGAAGATCTGGGCTCCTGGAAAGATCAAGTTCTATCTTTGGCTGCTCCACCACAACCGGCTCTGGTGCAACGACCGCCTGCAACATAGGGGCTGGGAAACTCCCTACTTCTGCCAGCTCTGCTGCCGCAACCTTGAGTCCTCTTTCCACCTGCTTTGGGAGTGCAGCACCTCGCGGGAAGTTTGGTCAAAGGCAGCCACCTTGGGAGGGTTGTGCGGCACTCTCACCAGCCTCCTAGAGCTCAAGCAAAACAACAACCACGGCGCCAAGGGAAAGAAGAGGAGTCAAGACCATGGTGGCTATGATCACCTGGCAAATCTGGCTAGAGAGAAACAGATGCACATTCAGAGGAAAGACGCCAAGTGCACTCAGCGTAATAGAAGCCTGCCGGAGAGACATCGAGCAATGGAGGCTCGCTGGAGCCCATGCCGTAGCGCCCCCTTTCGGGGAAACAATGTGAGGAGTGGGCACAGTTTTTCTATACAGTGCTGAGAGCGAGGGTCCATTATGTTCCCTCCTCCTACACCTCTGTAATTCATTATTCTCTTGATCACTTGATCACAATTTTGTAACTCTCCCCTGCTAAGCCAATGAAAAGCCAGCAAGTCTGAATCTTTCAAAAAAAGAATTAACTAGGAAGGGACATGCTCCTTTACCCATCAAATTGGTTGATTCTTGACGTGCATGCCATTTTTTCTTCTCCAAATCTGCACACGATTGCCTGGTTTTTTATGTTGGATTTGCATCTGCTTGTGTTTTTGACGTGCTACTACTGACTACATGGGTGAACATACACACGGGGAAAACATATATGCATGGACACCTAAGAAAGTAAATACATAAATTATCCTTAGGCGCTGCTGATTTCGGTTTATGTGAGTGCATAAACCATCGGCGTCAAAACATAGGCATTTACTACGTCGGTCCTGGTTTATTCGTCCTCTTTGCATTTTGTGCCAAATTTTGACCTTAGTTTAATTAACAATATGTTAATGCATGTAATAAAAGAGAATATCACTAGAAGCTATGTTCAAATACGAATTCAAGAACAAATTTTTGGTGACATGCATTATTATTATTTTAGTTAAATTTATGGTCAAAATATTATGGAGACCAATAAACCAGGGTGGAGGTAGTACATGTCATAGCCACAACGTGTTTAATTGTTCTCAATAAAGTTTTTGTTCCAAATAAAGCAGAAGGCGTCATGCTTGATGTCCCTGAAGATGGTCGTGTGAAAGGTGGTACAGAGGAACGAGGTAACCATCTTATACATCCTTTTGACCCAAACATTAACGCTATGAAGAAAACTGTAACGCCCTGGATTTGATGCGCCAGGTGTCTACCAGTTATTCGTCGTCGTTGCCATGTCATTTGATTGCGTGTTGCATTTTGCCATGTCATCATGTGCATTGCATTGCATACGTGTTCGTCTCATGCATCCAAGCATTTTCCCCGTTGTCCGTTTTGCAATCCGACACTCCTATGTCCTCCGGCGTCCCCTTATTGTCTCTTTTCGTGAGCGGGTGTTAAACATTCTTGGAATGGACCGAGGTTTGCCAAGCGGCCTTGGTACACCACCGGTAGACCGTCTGTCAAGTTTCGTGCCATTTGGAGTCCGTTTGATACTCCAATGATTAACCGGGGAACCGTACAGCCTCTTTTGTGTGCAGCCCAACACCCCTCCAAAGTGGCCCTATAAACCATCCAAACCCCCTTCATCCTCTCGGTCGTTCTATCACGATCGCGTGGCCGAAAACCGCACTCCATTTGGACTCTCCTAGCTCCCTCTAGCTATAAATATGTGCCTCCCCCCGAAATTCGTGGATGAAACCCTAGCAAACCTCCCTCTCGTCGCCGGACATGTCCGCCTCCACACCGGACACGTCCGCCCGCCGCCTCGAGCCAACCAGGAACCGCCATGTGTCCCCGCCGCCGCCGTTCCCACCGCGTGCTGCCGCGGGCCCGAAGCCCATCTGGGGCCCGCCCGGGCCCGAGCCTCCGCGTCGCGGCCCGCAGGCGCCCGAGTCCCGCCGCCGATCGCCGCCTTCGTCCCCGGCTGGCGCCGG